TACGAAGTGTACACATATGCGCTCATATAAAAAGTACTCAAGGTTAATAAGCAAATGATTAACAAGATCAAAAGATGACTCAATGTACAGGTGAATTGGCTTGGCCAGTAACTAGAATAAAGTATATGGGCCTAACATATGAACTGGTACTACAGTATACTAACTATGCGAGTAACAGTATATTTTTAAGGGATAAAAATGTTAATCTTAGTTAAAATGATTTTATTATTGAAATGAATTATATTAAAATGATAAATACTTCATACAATAATGGAATCAGTTTACATCTCGATTAAATTATTCGGCAAAAATAAGATAATTTACTGATTAGAAATATTACTATTGATTCAAATATTTGATATACACTTAAATGGTATTATGAATTTTATTTTATAATAATGAGAATCTGAATATTATCAGAAAGGGGGTTTGTGAAAATTTTAGTAATTTTATAGTTGAGATCATGAAACAATTGAAGCTAGACCACCATAGAAAACCTGGAAGCACTGGACAGCCGTTTCGTCCTATTTTGGGAATCCTCATCAATGCGCATCCTGGGTTCAAATCTCGCGAGACGGGATCGTGAATGCGCACTGCTGAGGAGTCCCACAGTAGGACGAAACGGCTGTCCAGTGCTTCCAGGTTTTCCATAGTGTTCAAGCTTCAATTGACTCATGATTCCAACTATATAAGAACATATAAATGATTTATTTATTTTTAACATTTTCAACATACATAACTGTTTTTATATATTCAACAACATTGATATTTTCCATTCCAAATAATGAATATTAAACATCAGTATTCTATATCTCACTTAGAAATAGGACCTCAGTTTATAATCATTAATTCAACTATTTAAGACATTTATTTTTTCATTGAATTTCTTATCTAATAACATTTATAATAATTCAAAGTGGGTTTCATATACCTAGATACTTCTATTAGTATCCATATGAAATCAAAATCCTTTTTAATAAATATTATCTCATAAATTTTAAGTAAATTTCCTTCTTAATCTACTTTCATTCCTTAATGTAGTTTATAAATCTTAAAAAAAATGAAATAGAAGACTGTAGGTGGTAATATACTACTGTTAAATATATTATATGAAAATAAGTAGTGTTACATTAACATATAAATATATATATATCTATCTAATCAATGCTGACATTTCACTATTTCTTAAGAATTGTACATTATTCATTAGGGCATTAATTTATCACACTGTCAAATGGACAGAAATATGAAGAGCCTGCTAGCTAGCTATCTAGAAAGTAAATGAAAATGAGAGAAAGAAAGAATGATATCGAAAAATGAAATCGTTCTCACGAATTTTTCCGAAAAAAATGTCCATTCAGATAATTTTTGCCGAAAAAATTAACAACATCATGTCCGAATAATTACTGAAATCAACAAGTGTGTACTTTGTAATTCAAGTATGTGATACATGTACATATTAGTGTATAACTTTGTACATATTCATGTAGATATAGTTGTATAGAGAAAATTCACTTATCTCCAATATGCATACAAACACTACTTAACCGACAGTAAGATCTTGTGCCTACTTTTTTCGACATCTATTGATTCTCTTTTCTTTAACTTTACTTCCTGTACAGATATGCCCTTGCCACTTTATATATATATATATATATATATATATATATATATATATATATATATATATCACTTTGTCTTGGGTAAAATACTCCTTTGATCCTAATGGTCGTGTAGTCATGTATGTAGTATTACGAAAGGTTTGCCACAGTAATCGGTACGAACGAAATAGTGTCATGACTTAAAGAAAACATATTTGTGCACAAAAGGCACTAGTCTTACTTCCATATTACATATATGTATGTGAAGGTATTTCAGTAGTTATATCAGAATCAAATACATATGTTCGAAAATTTAATGTGAATATGTATGTATGTGAAGGTATTGCCCATTCGACAATCGAAAAGGTCAGCCGCTTATTACCATCACTTTGTATATATATGATAATATGTTGGCGTCTTAGTTTTAGTATAAATGTACATAAAACCAACGTTTATATTTGTGTTATTTTTACATGTACTGAGTGGAACATGCACCGTTGGCAAGGTATTATAACATTTTTTTTAAAAAGCAACGTAGTTATAGTTGATTAGTGTTCAAATCAATTTGATTTTTAACTGGCATACCTAAAAAACTGTTGCACATCAAATTTTTTAGGCTATTTATTAAATTATCTTGACCACTTATGTGCATTTTTCAGGAGGGGAGAGTATGAAGGGTTATAAATTTGTGTGTGTGTAAGTGTGTATGGTTGAGTGTGTGACATGTCAAATATCTACTCCCTTAATACTTTTTTTCATTCATATTTTGCAACGGCGGTATTTTGACATGACTTTCACTTAGACAGACAATCAATACAGTATATTATCTTCAAGTTAATAATTGTGAATATTTAGCTTGCCGGTTAGTAGACACTATTGTGATCATGTTTTTTTTTAGTATTCTTACCATAAAAAATGGAAGTTGGTGTACATTTGTGTTGGTATATGTTAAATAAATCCATTGTTCATAGTATTTAGCATGAATTTTGTTTGTAAATTGATTTTGCTCCAGGGGGAACTTGAACAACATAATTTCTTTTCATTTATTTATCATTTATATTGTTACTTGACTAAACCGATAGATTCTTTTTTGTATATACATTCAATACTTTGATTGCTTAAGATAAAAACAAATGTAATTCATACTATTGAACTGTGAAAAGTGAAGAAAAACGTTTAAGTCAATTGAGTCAGATAAATATTGGAGAGTGTGTGTGTGTGTATGTAGACTTACATGCAATCAATGTAGATTTGTGTGTGTATGTGTGTGTAGAGCTAAGTTCAGAGCTTGAAAAGTAAAAAAAAAACACCAGCGTGGTGAGATCTTTCTGACATTTTGTTCTGATTTGATACTCGAGGAATAAACAACTATACATATTCATAGATGTATAATTGTGACAAGCTCAATATTCAATAATGAAACTATTCAACTCAAAATTGATCACTATGCCTTTTAATGAATAGACAAATACAATTTAATATTGACATTTTCAATATAATTTATATTCATTATTTATGACATGATTTGTGGTTTAATCAACAATTTAATTAAATTAATAAAAAAATATAAAAAAAATAAAGGACACATTAGTATAAACAGAAGGGGTTAATTTGATTTGTCTACGAATTGCTATGGTATTGATTTAAACAAAAAAAAATTTTTTTGGGTTTAATATCTAAGTAACTAAGATGTACAACAAGTATTTATATTTGGATATAGTTGATCTTAAATTTTGTAGGGTTCTTTTCAATAGTAAGGTATTGTTAGAGAATGTAGTGATTGAGTCAAGATATGTTTAACTCACAATAATACTAATATATATATATTCAGACGAATATAATTTACAAGTATCTTATTGAATTCAATAAATCTATGTGATCAAGAGAGTGGTTTTACTCATAGATTTGTATGATATAAAGTTTATTTATAGCATGAATTAACGTTAATTGATTAAATGTTATGAACTATGGAACACTAGACAAGTAGTTCGTTTTCTTTAAGACTCCACACTACTCGCTACTCAATAACTTAAGAGGGATTCATATTATGATTAGATAGTTTCATATAGAGTAGATTACTATTCTGTACAGAAATTTTTATACAACAGCTGATATTTCTGATTTAAATTCATTTATGATGTAGAGCAATCTACATGACATGGACTTATTCATGATTTTCATTTGAAGTTTGTAACCATGATTCTTGGATATTTACTTGATCTAACTGATTGTCTTGTGAACTGTAGATAACGTTGATACCTTGAAATCGTATTTATGTGAATTAAGATATGATACGTTGTAAAATTGCATTGATTACTCACATTTAATTATATACCCTTTCAAGTTTGTGTCAATTACTTACTTACTTACGCCTGTCACACCTCGTGGAGGAGCATAGGTCGCTCACCAGCATTCTCCATCCAACCCTGTCCTAGGCAATCCTTTCCAGTTCTTTACAGTTAACATTCATCTTTTTCATATCTGCTTCTATTTCCCGACGTAATATGTTCTTTGGCCTTCCTCTTTTCCGCTTCCATTCCGGATTCCAAGTTAGGGACTGCCTCGTGAGTAAGTAATACTGAGTCTAAACGTAAACTTTTAAATAAAGACGGGAAATCGGTTGATTAGGTTTTGAACTAGGATTAACTGAGGTATTAATACATAATCACTAACTACGTTGCCAAATTTTGTATAATGTGGAAGTAGATTTTAAAATAATTACAACTGAAGCTAGGCTGAAATTTAGTTTAGTTTAAGAAACCACTGGTTATTGAACTGTCATAGATTTCAAGAATGGAAATTGATTGGAATCTAAAAGATGATCATAATTATGCGAAACTAATCAGTAAAACGTGACTAGCATTGTAGATTAGACAATCTAGAATTAGTTTCTTTACACCAAATTGATTAATGTTTACATTTGATCCAGATCAACAGTATTGACTAGTGACAAAGAAATAGATTGACTAATGCAACTCAGTTGTCTTTATCAAATAAAATGAAATAAGATTTAAAGTTGAAATCCAAAAAGAAGAAAATCAACCGTTTTTAATCAATAAACTGTTCTATGTAAATAAATACTGAGTTGTTCTTTGTTTTTAAGTTTAGCAGAAAAGGTTTTTGGGAGATTTCAGTATTTTCATAGTTGAAATCATGAGTCAATTAAAGCTAGACCACCATGGAAAACCTGGAAGCACTGGATGGCCGTTTCGTCCTATTATAGGGCTTCTCAGCAGTGCGCATCCACGACCCCACCTATCGAGATTCGAACCCAGGACCTATCGGTCTCGCGCCAGAGCACTTAACCGATAGACCACTAAGTTTATCATTTAGTTAATCCATTTGATTGTTTAGATAAATTGTCATTACAGAAATTATTTTATTAAATTTCTTTTTTAGCATCTAGACAAACGGTAGGAAAATCATTAAATGCTAAGCATCAAATTAAAAAACAAACTGCATTAGTAAATCCAATTCAACATTTAGAACCTGAAGAACTAATTAAACAACACTACCATCATCATCAACATACAGAACATTTTAAAAATAAAGAGTTAAAACCAAATACAAAACACATAAGCACTGAACAACATTTAAATTTACATGAAACATCTCCACCTATATCTATTACACAAACATCACAAACAGCAACCATGTTAGATATTCAATCTAGCACAATTGATCAAGTTAATTGGACAAGAGATAATCATCATTCTCATGTTAATCAACAACATCAACTAATAGAATCATCGATAGATTCAATAAAATCATCTAAATGTGTTATTGATTCTTCTTCATATTCTTTAGATGAAACTGATGATCTATGTTACATTAATCAATCAAATGATCCTAAACGTACTCGTACAGCGTATACACGTCAACAAATTTTAGAATTAGAAAAAGAATTTCATTATAATAAATATTTAACACGAAAAAGACGTCTTGAAATAGCTCATACTTTAACATTATCTGAAAGACAAATTAAAATATGGTTTCAAAATCGTCGAATGAAATGGAAAAAAGAACATCATTTACCAGGGATGAAACAACGATTGATTGAGTCAAGGTCACCAAATGCTCATTTTAATAAATTGCATAATAATGCCAATAGTATATCCATTATGAATACTACTAATAATGGTGGTAATAATAACAATATTCATCCGAGTTTAACTTTCCAAGCGTCATCATCCTCATCATCAGTATTTTCTAGTCGATTTCAATTAATGTCACAGGATTTTAAATCAGATAATTTATCTAATTGTCCAATAACTTCTAATGAAGATAACACTTCACTGATGCCACCTGATCAATGGTCATTAATGGTTTCAAGTAATTTACAAACTTATAGCAATCCAACAATAAATACACCTTACCATTCTTCTTTACCACCAACACAACATCATCATCATCGACATACAGATGGTAACTATAATCCAGTTGGTAGAGATAGTCCGATTCTATCTGATTACGCATCACCAGCATTGAATGTTGATCACTTACATATTCATTCAAATCATTTACACAATACACAAGATCATCATAATGATAACATTGTCAATTTATTTCAAAATAACAATAGTGGCAATAGTAATACAGTGAATAATTTAAGATATCCTACTATGCCAGTAAATGACATACATTTATCAAAAGCAATTCGACAAAATTATTTATCGAATCCAGTAGAAATGGATGAACAACAAACTATGTGTTTGACACGGAATTATAGTAATCACAGTGATTGTAGCAGTAGTATATGCAGTGGACAAAATAGTAATTGCGGTAGTAACAGTACTGTTAATTGTAGTAGTTATGGAAGAGAAGCAATTGTTTGAGAACATTATATATACATAATGTCAAATCATTTATTTATGACAATATATAATCATCTATATCTACTGAACATCTGTAAATATATACACTTAACATTGAACATACATTTGGTTGTTTATTTGAGTGAAATCACATATTTAAACTATGAACCTTCAGTGAGTACTTCTGATCATCTACTTTGTTATTTAATATGTTCTACAGAAAAAAAAGTCGTCGTATAAATTACATTCCATGTGAAAAGAAAAAATAAACAACATGAAGAAAATTCTATTAAAACAAGTCTTATTACTACCACTATTGCAACTAGTACTACTAGTACTACTACTAATATTAATAATAATAGTAATGTTAACAATATGAAAAGATCATTATCAATGTATACTACTGAAATGAATTATGACTGTTCAAAATTAGTTCTAATGATAGATAAGTGAAATCATACCAAAAAGGACATGTCTTCATATTTCGAACATGTTATCTTATCCGGATTCCTTTTTTTGAGTTGTTGTTGTCCTTGTTCTTGTTAATTCGTTATCATGTGATTTCATATTGTAACAATGTTTAAATACAGTCAATGAGGACTTAAAGTATATTAATGCATTAAACTTTACCATTTCTTAATATTGCATTACATTGTATGAAAGAAATAATAAGTTCTCTGCAGTTTATTTCTTATAAAAATACAAAAAAAATTTCAAAAAAAGAAAAATGCTAAAAATTGTTTTCTTTCAAAAAGGATAAAGAAGCGAACATATTTGATACAGAAAAACAAAAATGAGCAAACTGATCATATAACCTTTTCGTTCCTTTTTTTTCTTTTTTTTATTATTAATATCCAATGAAAAATTCTGTGTTAGTTAAGACCAATAATTAAAAAAGAAAAAAAAGGCGATAACATATGATTAATTGTGAATAAAGTACTATTTTCCAAATATACAAATCTATTGTATTCACTTAGTATTGTTTGTTTGAATCTTCCCATTAATGCTTAGAACTGCAACTGGTTAGTCTCTTATTGGCATATGTGCATACTGTACGTATTGCCTTGATATTGCCTTAATTCACGAGCATTATAATCAAAGATGGAAAGTGGCTAGAAGTGGAATCCAAGGTGCGTGTTTCGTCTTATTTGGGACTCATCAGCTGGATGTACCTGCATCTCAGATTTGATGTTCACTCTGAGACTCGAACCCAGTACCTTTCGCTCCGAACGCCATCATGTTATCCACTCAGCTACTGAATCCTGATAGCCACTTGCTTTTGCAATGGGGTGGAGTTTGAATTCAGTTAGTATTGTTTGTTTGATTCTTCCCATTGTTGCTTAGGATTGCAAGTACTGGGTTCGAATCCCAGAGTGAACATCAACTCTGAGATGCAGGTAGATCCGGCTGACGAGCCCCGAATAGGGCGACACGCGTGTCCTGAATTCCACTTCTAACCACTATCCATCTTTGTATACAAAGCTATTGTGTTTTATTATTTCTGACAGTGACAATGGTTGTTTACTTAAGTTCAGTTTATGATGTAGACTAACAACTAAACAGTTTTTATAAGTATACGGTACTGGTAACTATCATTTGCTCACTAATGTTAATTCCATGAGTTCTTAAACGAAGCCATGATTAGTGAAGTTCATCTATATCAGGTGTGAGGCAAATACACACCAATGGGATTGGAACATAGTTGTAAATTATTGCGTATCGAATGAAATTAAAAGCATAAATCATAGGATACTAATAGTCTAAAGGTTAAGTCTTTGCTTCAACATATGAAGGTTCTGGGATCGATTTCCAATGTTAGGGTTGTGGATACACACTGATGAGGAGTCTCATACTAAAACGATATAGTTTACCACTGTTTCCTGGTTCCAACTGGTTGTATAACTAAGTTCACTCCATCATGCAAAATATAAAGTGAAGAAAAATTCCTTTCAGTTGATTACTTTTTTGATCAAGATTACTCACATTGTAAGTTATTTAACTTTTAAGTAATATTTGTCTATATAACGCAAGGTGATTAAAGAGGACATTCGTGGTTATAATAGGCATAATAGAATGACTATTGGAAAAAAATAATCAAACATACACATTTCAAATTCTAGTTATTAAATTATAAAGTAAATTATGCTTAAAACAGTGACAAGATTTAGCTGAATTATCATTATAAAGGTGAAAGATTTTACAAAAAATGCAAAGAAATTCAGTTTTACACGTAATATTACTTCTGTATTTGAACGTATTCGAAGCACAGCATTCTAATTCTGGATTACGGATTGTCTTAGTAAATATTATAAAGTTCAGTAATCTAAGACAGCATCATTCCTTACAGAACGTTTTAAATTGTCCACCACAAGGAATCGAACTCAGAACCTTAGGTCTCACTTAAGAACCCAGGCTATATATATAGTCTTGTGATATCCGTGCACTGACGGTTTATTAAATCACGAAATTCATCACTCCATCACAATATCATACCAGAGAATACTGAACAGTTGCTTCGTCTTATGATAGGGCTCTTCAATAGCGTGGGTTCGTAGGTGAGACTGAAGGTTCTGAGTTTGATTCCTTGTGGTGGAATAGTGGATGTACTCTGTTGACGAGTTTCATACAAAAATAAGACAACTATCTAATGCTTCCCAGTTTTCAGTGATGGTCTAGTTAAGACTACTTCGTGATTTGAGAACTATGAAAATTCTATAATCTTCACAAAACCCAATGCCGATAATAAATGTTTTTATCTATTAACTCTGCTTGCTTAAAATACATGAAAACTAAACAGTTATTTACAATCAACTGTTTATTTTGACTTTATTTATGTGTGTAGGTATATTTCTCTTCTTCTCTCTCTCTAAATAACAAATTCCAAACACGTGTTTTCAACAATCTTTCATTTGTATATGCACACGCGGTATAAGTGTGTAATGACAGAAAACATGTGTAATGACATTTTTTTGTATGTGTATATAATGTTCATTCACTGATTGCATAATATTACAATGTTTATTTGCCCCTTCATTATGTTTTTTGGTTATTGTTACTAAAACACTAGTACGTTGTAAAGTAGATAGTTTAGTTGTAATTAACAACATGAATGAAAGACAAACTATGATCAACTATGTTTGTTCCTCTCTTTTGTTTGGTTTTAAATTTAAAAGATAGAGAAGAGAGTAAATTGTAATCATTAATTGGTTTAGTTTAAGGCTAATGGGTGAATTGTATTAACTACTGTTGTACTATGATACATAGCATCAAATTGACTCATTGATTTACGAATTATAATTAGCTGATTCAGTGTCATGATAGAATACTTATGTACAATTGAAATGAAATTAGATTCCAAGTTGAAGCATCATTGTAAAACACTACTAATCATTAGTTAATATGTTTTGTTCGGGTATTATTTTGATATTTTATTTTCATTCAAAATAGTTTATTTTTATATTGACATTCTTTCGAATAAATCTTATCATAAAGTTGCTTTATATTGTGAGGAAAACTGAATAACTTTAAGAAGTTCTAAAGCGTAGTAGGAAACTTTCGTCAGTGGGGTTCAATCATTTCGGATGTGAGACACATGTCACTAGTGATAGTGGAAGATTTAGATCAATATTATGAATTGGTTGAGGTGGAAAATATTAACTACCGAATGATAGCTGTAAAAGTAATTTAATTTTTCTATATAGGACAATGATCATTTCTTTGCTGATGAGTCCCACACTATGACAAAGGGGCTTTCTAATCTTCTCTGGCTTTAACCGGCCACTCTGTTATGCAAACTACAGTCTTTATCAAAGTGTTATAGATTTTATTGAGTTAAAATTATTTAATAAGCTTTTGTCTGGAGTAGGTAAACCAGTATTACATAGATTTCCGTCATATAATGAGTTCCAGTTTCTGATCAATATGTAAGCCATATAGTCTTTCGATTATTGAACACAATTAAGTATCCCTCGAGTTTTAAAATTATCTGACTATTTGCCATAAGAAACAAAATTTGAAATGAAAATCCACTTAGAAACGTCAAAAAGTTTAACTTGACTCTATCAGGCTTTGCAAAATGACGTACTAATTTGAAGTATTTATAATCGCTTACTTCCTAAATAGTGCTAATTTTATAATTGTTGCCTCGAATCTGATGTTACCTGGCTTATGAAAATGAGCTTTCCAGGATATCAAATAGTATGAATCCTCGATAAGACTTACTTACTTACTTACTTACTTACTTACTTACTTACTTACTTACTTACTTACTTACTTACTTACTTACTTACTTACTTACTTACTTACTTACTTACTTACTTACTTACTTACTTACTTACTTACTTACTTACTTACTTACTTACTTACTTACTTACTTACTTACTTACTTACTTACTTACTTACTTACTTACTTACTTACTTACTTACTTACTTACTTACTTACTTACTTACTTACTTACTTACTTACTTACTTACTTACTTACTTACTTACTTACTTACTTACTTACTTACTTACTTACTTACTTACTTACTTACTTACTTACTTACTTACTTACTTACTTACTTACTTACTTACTTACTTACTTACTTACTTACTTACTTACTTACTTACTTACTTACTTACGCCTGTGACTCCCAATGAAGCATAGGCCGCCGACCAGCTTTCTCCAACCCACTCTGTCCTGGGCCTTCTTTTCTAGTTCTATCCAACTTTTGTTTATTCTTCTCATGCCTGTCTCTATTTCTCGACGTAATGTGTTCTTTGGTCTTCCTCTTCTCCTTTGGCCTTCAGGATTCCAACTCGCTAAAAAACGCTAATCAGAAAAAATTATTCAAACCATTTAATATCCTCGATAAGAAGCTAACATTTATTCATAGTCGACTAAGATAAAAACAAGTTTCGAACTTTATAAGCAAAGATGGACAGTGGCTAGCAGTGGAATCTAGGACGCGCGTTTCGTCCTATGTGGGACTCGTCAGCCGGATGCACTTGCGTCTCAGAGTTGATGTTCATTCGGGGACATAAACTCAGTATCATTCGCCTCAAACACCATCGCATTATGCACTTAGCTCTGAGATGCAGGCATATCCATTTGACGAGTCCCAAATAAGATGAAAAACACGTCCTGGATTCCACTGTTGGCCACTATCCATCTTTGCCTATAAAGCTTATGACTTCAGGCAATATCGAGGCACAGTATGCACATATGCCAACAAGAGACTGATCAATTTCAGTCCTAAATAACAATAGAAAGATTCAAGTAAACAACACCAAGTGAATATAACAACGAGTTTATTCTAACCAATTCAAACAGAGTAAGTGAGTGGGTATAATGGGGACCATTATATATCAAAGACAGATTACCATGGCTTACAAGCATTAAGTTAACAGGCCTATCATACATACCTGTGGTCACATAACTTCAGTCTCTGCCGCATAGAAAAGCATTCTTTGGTCATAACAAAAGAATTAGCTCTCCTTATGTTTCCATCATAATGAGCGATTTTTTGAATTGCTTATATCAAAAGTGCTGTGAAACGGAAATATTTTCATATAACGGTAATTTGTATTAGAAAAGATAGTTATTTGACTCCATGATGAGTACATACTTTATGGCTTAGTTATAAAAAGATCTCGGTACGTTTTATTAAAGATAGTAAGTGGCTAGCAGCGGAATCAAGTATGTGTGTTTCATTGGATGCAGGACTCATCCTTTGTGTGCACCTATAGTCCAGTATTGATACTCGTATTGAAACTGGGATCCAATACCTTTCACATTAAATGCTAGCATGTTATCCGCTGAGCTACTGGATTTAAGTAAATACTATCTTATTCAAAATTGTGTAATGTGTTGGGGTTTAAAAGTGATTAGTACTGGGTTTAGCTCTCTATGTGAATATCAACAATAGGGTACAAATATATCCAACTGACGAGTCCCAAATAGAGGGCAACTCAAGTCTTAACAAGTCTATGT